AAAGTACCTGCGGGGGGAGGGGGAAGGGGGGGCGCGTCAGTGTGCAGGGCGGGGCCCAGGGTTCGGGGACCCCACGCTGCACACGACACCTCCTCCCACCTCCACACCTTTCCAGGGCCACACACAGGCCTGAATGCACACGCATGAGGCACACAGGCGTGAGTCCACACGTGCACACGTGCACACGTGCACAGGCACACAATTGTGCACACAGACACAGACACGCACACCCGTGGCAGGAAAACATCCTGAATTAACCTAAAAGCTATTATCATTTGACACTGAGATGGTTCATGTGCCCTCCTTATTAAAAAGCTCCCAAAAGTGACTTCCTAGGTGCTGGCTGAGCTTCTGCATGGCCACCTGACTGTGCACGTGGGCGTGTGTAGGAGTGAGTGCACGTGGGCGTGTGTAGGTGTGTGTCCACGTGGGCGTGTGTAGGAGTGAGTGCACGTGGGCGTGTGTAGGAGTGAGTCCATGTGGGTGGGTGTGCCCCTTCTGGGCATCAGGACTCACAGGTTCTGCTGCCAGTCCTGGTAGGAGGCCGCCCCACAGCACTGCAGCCCGAGCTGGACTTGATCCATGAGGAAGCACAGGTCAGGGTCATCCTGGTAGTGGGTGATGGCCACGTGCAGGGCGCGCTCCAGGCCGTCCTGCAGGGGGCCCCAGAGGGCCACCACCAGGGCCCCTGCCAGGGCCTCCAGCACCAGGAAAGCCAGGAGGCCCCCGGAGAAGCAGCGCAGCAGGCAGGCGTTCTCACAGAGGGTGCCCAGGCAGCCCGCCAGGCTCACGGCGCTGACCGCCAGCCCTCCCAGCACCAGCCCCAGCATGGGGTCTGCAGGCAGGGGGCCCCCCCAGCTGCTCCCCAGAGAGCCCTTGACGGCCAGGCCCCAGAGCCCGATGGCCAGGGCCAGCAGGCCGAGCAGAGAGAAGAGGAAGTTGGACAGAAAGATCAGGCACTGCAGGCAGCTGCTTCTCAGCGGGAGGGAGGGCAGGGAGGGGGCCCGGCCTCCCCCCAGGCCTGCCCTCCAGGCCCGTCCCTCCTGGAGCTCTGGGCCCAGGCAGCTGGCAGGGAGGGGTGGCTCCTGGCCCCCAGCATCCTACAGAGGGAGGAGGGCCAGGGGTCAGAGCCTGCAGGGCGAGGGAGCAGTCAGTGGAGGGGGCAGTTCGGAGACCCTAGACAGCCAGGGACATGGACATGCGGAAGGGGCGCCGGGGAGATGAGGGGGCTGAGGAGTCGGGTGTTGGAGGGGGTGGAGAGGACGTAAGGGAGGCCCAAGGCCCCCCGTGGGCACCATCTCCTGGGCCTGTGCTTTCCCGGGGGCATGGATGCACCCCGTGCTGGGTCAAATGCTAGGGCAAGGCTGGGCCACACCTCAGAGTCCAAACAGGGTGCAGGGTGAGGTGAACAGCCCACCCCAATCCTAGCAGCTCCTACGGGCCCTGGGCCTGGGGGCATCTCCAACCAGGGGAGGCCGCCAGGGCACTGACTCACCTGGGACAGCAGGGGGCTCTTCTCGCCCTCCTCCATCCGCCCCTCCCCCCAGGACAAGTGCGCTGGTCTCCGTGGCCTCTCTGGCGGGGACACAGACACGGGGGCCGGTGCTGTCCTGTGCCCACTCTGGGAGCCGGGAGCTCAGGGCCGGGTGAGCCGGGAGCCCCCCCGAGACGCGTGTCACGATGGGATCATGTGAGGAATCACATTTTAGGGCTCAGGACCGCCCCTGCTTGTCCAGACGCAGCCGCCTTTCTTCCTGAGCCAGTTCTCAGCCTCGCTCTGTGGGCACCGAGGGGTGGGCTGCCCCATGGCCATCACTGTGGGGCCCCAGTGTGGGCCTCAGCCTGGCAGTGTCCACGGCTGCTCCCCCTGCTCCCCCAGGGGCATGGAGCCCTGTGACCTGGCACAGTGACCGTCTCGGCCACTCGCCCACGGCTAAATGCCGGTTCATCCCCATGCATTCCCTGTAAAAACGAGACAGGCACGTCCTTCCTGGCTACGAGGTACCTGGGATCTGAGCTTCCAAGGGGTAGGACTGCCCCGGACGGTGTGGCTCAGGGGACAGAGCATCGGCCTGCGGACTGAAGGGTCCCAGGTTCGATTCTGGCCAAGGGCACATGCCTAGGTTGTGGGCTCGATCCCCAGTGGAGGGCGTGCAGGAGAGAATCCAATGATTCTCTCTCATCATTGATGTTTCTCTCTCTCCCTCCCTCTCTGAAATCAATAAAGAAAATAAAGAAATACTAGGTGTCCCGGCTAATAATGCGGATTTTTTTTCAATAGATGGAGTTACACACATGTTGATATATATGCGATTTGACATGTATGCTATGTTGTTGTATTGCTCCTTCAGATCACCACTTGTTCTGATCGACAGCACATGCACTTTCTGAGCAGCACTTCCAAACGTACGAAGAAGTGGAAATTTGGGTCTCTGAATGGTCTGCCTCAAAACAAGAAAAGTTCTATTGGGATGGTCTCCACAAATTACCTGAAAGATGGGGGAAATGTGTAGCTAGCGATGGATATTACTTTGAATAAAGCACTTCTGATGTTTCTTGTGAAATTGTTTTCTTTGATTATAAAATCTGCATTATTAACTGATCAATACTGTGGATTAACTATTAACCAGTTATACTGTGGATTAATTATTAACCGGTTAATAGTGCGGATTAACCATTAACCAGTTAATAATGCAGATTAACTACTAACCAGTTAATGGGGGTTGACTATTAACCGGTTAATAATGCATATTAACTAGTAACCATTAATAATGTGGATTAACTAGTAACTGGTTAATAATACAGATTAACTAGTAGCTGGTTAAAAATGCACGTTAATAATTAACCGGTTAGTAGTGCAGATTAACTATTAACCATTAATAATGTGGATTGACTATTAACCGGTTAATAACGCAGATTTTGTAACTCAAAGAAAATACAATAATTTCAAGAGAAACATCAAAAGTGCTTTATTCAAAGTAATGTCCATCGCTAGCTACACATTTCCCCCATCTTTCAGGTAATTTGTGGATACCGTCCCAATAGAACTTTTCTTGTTTTGAGGCAGACCATTCAGAGACCCAAATTTCCACTTCTTCATATGTTTTGAAGTGCTGCTCAGAAAGTGTGTGCGCCGTCGGTAGGAACAAGTGGTGATCTGAAGGAGCAATACAACAACATAGCATACATGTCAAATCGCATATATATCAACATGTGTGTAACTCCATCTATTGAAAAAACATCTGCATTATTAACCGGTACACCTAGTGCATATTAAAAACAAAACAAAACAAACAAACAAACAAAACACGGTTTG